ATACACCATTTTCGTATTGCCTACTCGAAAATATAAACGTTTTATTCCATCTGGATATAAAACAGGGTCCGGCCGGATCTGATGAAGGAACATTTTATGAAACAATAATGCGTCCCCTTGTAAACGAGGGACATCAATAAAATAACCGAAGACAGTATCTCGGAAAATAGCACGTCGGGCATCATCTAAAACTTCAAATACTTCCCATATGTTACCGCCACAGCCTTTTAAGTTCGCAAAGGCTTTCGTATTCATTAAACTAAAATCATGCTGCAGAAAAAACACAAAAACAAATTAGATAACTAAAAAATATTTTTTTTAAAAAATATTTGATTACAAACTGCAAATAAAATTTCTTAATTACTAATATATATATTTCCCATAAAAAAACAATAACATACACATATATAAACAATTTCCCAAGTTATACAACTAATATATTAACGATAGAAAACAATATTCCAAAGTTATACAACTAATATATAAACATTTATACAAACAATTTCTAACATATATATATAATATAATATATATATATATATATATATATATATATATAATATATATATATATATATAACACAAATTTTCAACTTATACAAATGTTTTACTTAAACGACAAACACAAACAATTTCTAACAATATATATAAAACAAATTTTCAACTAATACAAATGTTTTACTTATACGACAAACACAAACAATTTCTAACATTATATATACCACAAATTTTCAACTTATACAAACGTTATACCTATACGACAAATATATATACAAACAACTATTTTGCACTTTATATAAACAACTATACGATTAGAATATACAAGATTTCAGGTTATACAACAACTAAAAAAATATTAACCCTATCAAACACAACAAAATTAAACTTTTTTAACACATCCTTAATACAACAAATGATACAAAAAAAGAGATTGTTGACATTAAAAGAGTAAAAATCTAACCATATTTGCGGGATTGTTGACATAATCCTCCATTTTCTTCAAAAACTAGCAAAAAATCGGAGCTAACCCAAACTTAGAGAGAGTTTTTGTGTAGTGAAGGGTGAAAAATGAAGGAAAAAAAAACGTTTTTATAATCAAATTAAGGGCATTTCGCAGATAAGAAGCCCATTTCGCATATGGGGCTTCTCATCTGCGAAAGTACAAGTGCCTAAAGCACAACTGTGCTTTAGGCACTTGTACTTTCGCAAAAATTTTAAAAAAAAAAAGGCCATTTGCGAAGGTACAAGTGCCTAAAGCACAACTGTGCTTTAGGCACTTGTACTTTCGCAGATGAGAAGGTACTTTCGCAGATGGGACCTTCTCATCTGCGAAAGTACAAGTGCCTAAAGCACAACTGTGCTTTAGGCACTTGTACTTTCGCAAAAAAAATTTTAAAAAAAAAAAGGCCATTTGCGAAGGTACAAGTGCCTAAAGCACAACTGTGCTTTAGGCACTTGTACTTTCGCAGATGAGAAGCCCATTTCGCAGATGGGACCTTCTCATCTGTGAAATGGGTGGTTATTTTTGTAATTTCGATTTTTTTTGGCTATTTTTGTAATATCATTAGTGTAAATGGCTATTTTTGTAAATTTCTCTTTTTTAAAAGATAAATATAGCTAATTGTATTTATCAATTTCCAAGATTTAATTAAAAATCAGAAGGTTATCAAAATAGCTAAAATTTTCGTAGATGGCATGTACAAAATTTTGTGTATGTGCGAAAATCACCAAAATAACATCATTTTGATGATATTCACAATTGAGCAGGGGATTTTTATAGATGTTATCTACAAAAATGTGTATCTCATTCATTATTTTTGCTGAGAAAATACACAATTTGGAAAATATCATATGAAAAAAAAGTGTTTTTTTACTGATAATGGTTACGGGAATGTCTTGTATTTGCAAGTTTTAAAACATTTTGTGTTGTTAGCAAACTAAGAAATATTGTTTATGGATTTATCAATACCAATTGGCACATAAGTGGGGATAGGCTGGAAAGCTAACGTAGCTGTGAATTTGCTGACTAAAGTATGTTATAGAGATATTCGATGAAAGTGATGTGCGGCACTTGAAAAGGTTATTCAGAATGTTGCAATTGTTGTACATTTGTATCTAGTGAAAGAATTATCTAGCAGCCATAGAGGAAAAGACTTTGCTGAGAGTTGATCTAGATGTAAAGTTAGTAATAATAAAGCATGTATTCTTATATCTCAAAGTGGTCCTCGACATCCTAATGGATATGATATATATGAAACGCCAGTACAACCACAACTTCATTATGATGCTTTGGTACAACCATAAAATGTTGGATATTTATATGAAAACCAATTTTTCGGTAAAGATGTCGGTAAAGATAATTATACAACTTTTGTTAAAGATGACGATACATATTACAAAGAAAGTTGGTGGATGATACAAATTTACTTCCTTGTAAGGAGCAAGCATAGTTTTGTAGAGGTTTATGTGACCTTGCGAAAAATGATACAAAATTGAATGATGAGATGATGATAACACATACATAAGAGATCCATTTTTTGGTATGCTTGTATCGACATGTCCAGACTAGGGTGGCAACTCTCTACCCAACACTGACCCAACTTGAAAATAAACGGGTTTGGGTTGAGATTTTTGACACGCCAACCCGTTTATTTCATGGGTTGGGTTGTGTTACATGTTTGGGTTTATAGGTCAACCCGCTAGTGGTGGTATGGAGAATGTGTTCTCCCGTTCTTCATTCGTGACCGACTCGTGAGTATATTGCATGTATATTTTCTTTTTTGATTAGGGCACCACAAAAAACTAGCCAAGAGATTATACGAATACAGATGGAATACAATGTCAATGATACGAAATGCTATGAAATATTATGAATACGGAAGGAAGGAAATCATATTTCATTAATAGTTAAATATATCTATTAAGAGTTATATATATATATATATATATATATATATATATATATATATATATATATATATATATATATATATCACTTACATTTAAAAAATAAATATATTTAACTATTAATGAAATCTGATTTCCTTCCTTCCGTATTCATAATATTTCGTATCATTAACATTGTATTCCATTTGTATTCGTATAATCTCTATGCTAGTTTTTTGTGGTACCATAATAAAAAAATAAAATATACATACAACATACTCACGAGTCGGTCACAAACGAAGAATGGGAGAACGCATTCTCCAGACCACCGCTCACCAGCGGCCGCTCCTCACGTATTAACTAAAATTTTGTATTAATTATTCTTTTTTATTATTATTTATGCAGTTGATTTGAATGTGGTTGCTGACAACCTAACTCAACATATAAAGAATTTGAACATCATCGAAGAAGATACCAAGGCTACAAATTGCAACATACTTTAAGTTGTCATTTGGTGAGTTCTTTTTAGTACAAATAGTAGACAACATAAAATTATTTATGTAGCTTTCAAAAGATCATAAATTTAATTTTTCATATTGTTTCTATTTGAAGGTCATCATGAAAAAATTGGTGTTGGAGGAAGAAATCGGTGTTTGGATATTTTTAAACAATTGCACTTTGTATGAATGTTTTCATTTTTCAATTTTATTTGGATGTTAATGGCTTTGTGTAGCACCCGATTCAAGGTATTTTTCATTTTGGACCGTTAGCATGTAATTAGTTTGCAATTTTGGTTCTTAGGGGCATTTTTGTAATTTTTGGGAGGAGGGTGCGTATGATAGGCATAAGTAATCAGGGGACAAACACTAATTTTAGGGTTTTGACCCTATTTAATTAACCTTATATCCCAAGGTTCTCTCATTTCCCAGCCTTCATTACCCTTTTGAGTCCCATTTCGAAACCCTAGCTCATTTCAAGAGAGAGTTGACATTTGTGTGTGTTTGGTGTAACTCCAAGAAGAAGAAGCTGGGAGAAGGGGCTTTGACCAAGGAGGAGCTTGTAGATCCAAATTTCACTCATCATTTCCAGCTTCATTAAGGTATAAAGCTTAGACCATGCTCATTATATGCTTAAATATAGTTATTATGGAGTTTTAGTCACTTTTTGGTCCCATGAATGAGATCTAGTGGACTTTTACCACTCTAGAAGTTATGAGTTACTCCTCTTGATGTTTATGAGATCCCTACTCCATAAAGTTAGCATCATGGTGGTTGAGGATCAACCATGCATGAGTTTATGTCCACTTGGTGAAAGTAAGATGTTAAAGCTAGGGTTTGAGTTCATTTGAGCCATACAAAGGCTCCAAGTTAGTGAGTTTATGGATTAAGGCGTTCCCCATGGCTTGGATCTGAAATTTGGACGTTTAGCCCAAAGCATTAAAGACTTAATGGCTAAATGGCTTAACATGTGGTAAACCCCAACTTAATCGAGGGGGTGTGTGTATTTATGATGTTCCCGTTCCAGTCTCACCAGCATCGAAGAAAACATAAAGCTCATGATGTTGTCAAAAAGATCAAAAAAAGAGCAGCTGGCTGATCCACTTGACGATGTTGTTATTGAAGCTAATTTAGAAAGTGGAAGTGATATATCTTTGATTTGTCATGATATTGGCTTGGGATTCGAGACACCTCAAAGAGACTCTCCGGTTAAGTTGGCCTTCGAGGACACTGGAGGTCTTAGTGGTACTGTACACATATCTCATACGGATACAACCACTAATTTGGGTGAATCTCTAAGTACTACTATCCCTAGAAGGCACTGGTTATACTATCCAAGGTTTCTATGATTGGGTTTGTTTCAGAGGAGGTTCGAACCTCAAGCATCACTGTGAACATATCTGATATTGACACAAATGTTAATATGGGTGAAGGGATGAAGCATAGTGAAGCTCAAGGCACATCTTCTATTGAAACCTATTATATTCCTACCACACTTGTTTTATCTTCAACCATCAAAACTACCATCACCGACACTTCAACTTCTTTACTACCACTATCTTCTCCCGTTCCATCTTCCTTACATACTTCTACCATTTCACCCATTTTCTCAAACACCATGCATCAACCCATTACATCACTTTTCTCTTCCCAATCCACTGAAGGGGGAAAGTCAGTTCTCGAAGATGAACAAGATGATGATGATGTCATGGTATCCTTTGTAGGGATTCAGTATGACCCGAAATAAGATAACATTCTTGTTGATATGCTTATGCCAGGGAAACAGTTTAAAATTCTTGGTCACAAGCTGAATTCATTGTTACAAATTCAGGCAGATACAAGGGGTCAAAAATCAGTGTTTGGGATTAAGGTGGATGTAATGTTTAAATCACAAGAGCATTGTTTAAAGATGGTCATGGAACAGATTGAGCAGAAACATGAAGAACGTTTAAAGCTTCATGTTGAAATTTCCAATATGAGGTAACCAAGCTTCGTGACATTGCAAAAGAACGTCATGTCATTTTTGTTGAGAAAGTTACGAAGGTGGAGGCGTCTGTCAATCTCAAAATGGAAGAACTCACGTCTGAGATGTCAAAGGCGGTGGTAAAGATAGAACAAAACTATTTGAGACTTCATAGCAAGGTGGATGTTTTAGTTGATGCCATAAAGAAGCCCGTGGAGTATCATACCTTGTTTTCTACCAAAGTTGAAGCCAAGACAGAAACAAATTCGAAAGTCTTTGAAAAGCTGGAGGAATTCTTGGGAAGTTTAACAGAATCCTTGTCAAAGTTGGTTCTGTCTCAACAATCTACAATCTCTCAGGATTCGATTTTGAAGATGATTTCTTCTCTTGAATCGAATCTTAAAGAAGACCTTTCTCCTCTTCATAGACAACTACTATGATTGCTTGGCTGTGACGGATATCGAGCTAGCTATGGCAATTAACAGAACTTCGACGGTGCCTCAGTCGATGCTAAATGGGTAAGGAAGTTTTAAAGACTATGATGATGGAGAGATTATTCACAAACCTTTGGGATCTGTGTTTCTTGGGAAGAACAAGCAAAACAAGATGACAAAGTTTCTATTTCAAGTCTGTGATGTGGAAAGGTATACAAATTCTCAGTATATTAACTTGTTAGTCCGTCTTGGAAATTGCAAGAAGAATATTGTTGCGGATAAAGCTGAAATCTGAAAGATGATTGTCTGGTATACAGAGGAACTCTACAATCTTCCCGTTAGTGAGAAGTGTTGAGTTTATGTCATCATCATCTTCACCACCTGGTAAAGTACTCTGCAAACCTCTGTATAATAGATAATCATTGTATTGTATTTTAAATATATGTATTACATAAGGCATTGTTAGAGGTCGATGCCATCATGTCTAGCCCTTATGTATTTTTTGTACGTGTCTATTACTCCCTATTATAAATAGGGGTATGTATAGGAGTCGAGGGTAACTTTTGGTGAGCATGAGCACTTTACTCTTTTGTACTCCTGTATTCTTTCAGACATAATAAAAAAGCCAAACATATTCTATTTACATCATTGTTGTTATCGCATTCAATTCTTTATTTTGTTCTTAATACTCTATTCAAACTGACTATAACCCACTAACTACATCACAACAAAAGTCGTTGGATACGAAAAAATATATACAAACCTTCAAAAACAATAAAGTTTTTCAACTAGATCTGGTTTTGAAAAGTGTTCAAAACGCCTTTCAGTACAAAAACTGATAGATCAAACAAAAAAAAGTCTTGTTACCAGTATTGTACTTGGCATATTCGCTATAAAATATTATCATGTTCTAGATCATGAAACTTGTGGATGAACACACTTCTTCAACACAATTGAACACAAACCATCACCAAGACAATAAAAAAGTGTTGGGTAATAAGAAGCAAACTAATACTAATTTTATTAAACAATACTACTCATCAACTACAATATGCCATTCTAAAAATTTATACGAGAACAACATTTTTTTTTGCCCGCCAACTCCTATTACTTGTCATTATCTCTTTCACCCCAACCCTTATACTACATATATGGTTTGAAACAAATGTTTCAGCATCCTGTATCCATTATTCAGTTTTCATGATTTTCTTTCTTGCACCTTTTATCCATTATCCTCTTTTTTTATTTAAGATTTGTATAACCCTTTACCTCCCTTGCTAAACAAACATTGTAAGAGTGCATGTCAACTTCTTTGTTGGGTGTTATAGCCTCCTTGATTTCATCATAATCACTCCAGATTATGTTTTTCGTTAGAAGTAAAGTGTCAGTACGTTTGAACTTGTCTACGATTTGTAAAAAAGTCTTTTGGTGGAGAAGAGGACGAAGATATATTTTAACACAAAAGATATGTTTGGCACAGTTTTCTTATCCCATTTACATTATGTATATAAAAGTTTGCAATGATATTATGTGACATGATAGTTGACCATTAGTAATATTAACATGTTAGCAATGATATTAGGTGACATGTCAGCATTTAAAGCATAACTAATAAAAACACTACCTAAATGAAATACATACATATACCTAAATGACATGTCAGCATTTTAGCAATGATATTAGGTGATATATATATAAGGTTAGATTCATGTGAGGCGGCCTAATTTTGTGAGATCGTGAAACGCATTTTTATATTTTTTTTATTTTTTTTAAAATTTTTTTTAGTTAATTCTAGTTCCGAAAAAAAATATTTAAAAAAAGAATTTTTTTGATTTTTCCATTTATTTTTCATTTTAAAATTATTTTTAGAATATTCTATTTAGAATATTTCACGTATTTTTCAAAAAAAATAGGATTTTTTTTTTAGTTAATTCAAGTTCCGAAAATAATATTTAAAAAAAGAATTTTTAGATTTGGGCTAATATCATAAAAACCCTCAAGTTTTCAGGGTTTTGTCGGTTTTGCCCAAAGTTGAATTTTATGTCCGTTTTTACCCTAACATTTTCCAAAAATGTTCGGTTTTACCCTTTTACCGGTGATAACAGGTTACCATTATATTAGTTTCGCAAAAAACCCTTAAGTTTATAGTTTTTTACGTTTTTACCCTTAAGTTTATATTTTTTTTACACTTTTACCCTTTGTATTTTTTTTTCATATTATATGTATTCATGCACAAAATTTATATTTATATACAAAAAAATTTTAATTAAGTATTGTATTTACATTTTTTTTAATGTTATTTCTTCATATATATATATATATATATATATATATATATATATATATGTGTGTGTGTGTGTGTGTGTGTGTGTGTATGGGTTTTTTCTTGGATAAACCATTTAAGATGTAAAAAAAACGCAAATTAATATGTTTTTAGAACTACAAGTACATATTTTTATGCATTTAAAAATATACATGTTAATAAAAAAACTTGTTGAATCATAAACATGTTTATATAAGTATATACATATAATCTTAGAAGAGTACACATGTATTTTGATATATGTTTTTTTTAAGTATAAATATATTTTTAGAAGTATATATACATATTTATATATAATAATGTAAAAATATGTATTTATACTTCTAAAAAGTATATCTATAAAATAGGTATTCATTAATCTAAAAATATTATTTATCTTTTTAAATGGTATAACCTTGCAAACACACACACAACCAAACAAACATATATATATATATATATATATATATATATATATATATATATATATATATATATATATAACATTAAAAAAATATAAATACAATATTTAATTAAACATTTTTTCGTATATAAATACGATTTTTCTACATGAATACGTATATTATGAAAAAAAATACTTAAAGTAAAAGTGTAAAAAAAATTATACACTTAAGGGTAAAAACACAAAAAACGGTAAACTTAAGGGTTTTTTTTTTGCGAATTTAATATAATGGTAACCTGAAAAACCTGTTATTACCGGTAAAAGGGTAAAACCGAACATTTTTTTGAAAATGTTAGGGTAAAAACGGACATAAAATTCAACTTTGGGCAAAACCGACAAAATCCTGTAAACTTGAGGGTTTTTATGACATTAACCTTTTAGATTTTTCCATTTATTTTGCATTTATTTTTTAGAATATTTCAGTGTAATATTCTATTTCACGTATTTTTCAAAAAAAAAAAAAAAAACGGGATTTTTTTTTAGTTGATTCAAGTTCCGAAAATAATATTTAAAACAAAGAATTTTTGGATTTTTCCATCTATTATTTTAAAATTATTTTTAGATTTGGTCTTACGGTCTTACAAAATTAGAATGGTTTCAAATGAACATTGACATATACATATATATATATATATATATATATATATATATATATATATATATATATATATATATATATATATATATATATATATATATATATATATATTACATTCACATATATATTACATTAATAGATATATGGGTTAATGTCATAAAACCCTCAAGTTTACAGGATTTTGTCGGTTTTGCCCAAAGTTGAATTTTATGTCCGTTTTTACCCTAACATTTTCAAAAAAATGTTCGGTTTTACCCTTTTACCGGTAATAACAGGTTTTTCAGGTTACCATTATATTAAATTCGCAAAAAAACCCTTAAGTTTACCGTTTTTTGCGTTTTTACCCTTAAGTGTATAATTTTTTTACACTTTTACCCTAAGTATTTTTTTTCATAATATACGTATTCATGTAGAAAAATCGTATTTATGTACGAAAAAATGTTTAATTAAATATTGTATTTATATTTTTTTAATGTTATATATATATATATATATATATATATATATATATATATATATATATATATATATATGTTTGTTTGGTTGTGTGTGTGTTTGCAAGGTTATACCATTTAAAAAGATAAATAATATTTTTAGAATTATGAATACCTGTTTTATAGATATAGTTTTTAGAAGTATAAATACATATTTTTACATTATTATATAAATATGTATATATACTTCTAAAAATATATTTATACTTAAAAAAAACATATATCAAAATACATATTTACACTTCTAAGATTATATGTATATACTTATATAAACATGTTTATGATTCAACAAGTTTTTTTATTAACATGTATATTTTTAAATGCATAAAAATATGTACTTGTAGTTCTAAAAACATATTAATTTACGTTTTTTTTACATCTTAAATGGTTTATCCAAGAAAAAACCCATACACACACACACATATATATATATACATATATATATATACATATATATATATATATATATATATGAAGAAATAACATTAAAAAAAATGTAAATACAATACTTAATTAAAAAAATTTTGTATATAAATATAAATTTTGTGCATGAATACATATAATATGAAAAAAAAAATACAAAGGGTAAAAGTGTAAAAAAAAAATATAAACTTAAGGGTAAAAACGTAAAAAACTATAAACTTAAGGGTTTTTTGCGAAACTAATATAATGGTAACGTAAAAGGGTAAAACCGAACATTTTTGGAAAATGTTAGGGTAAAAACGGACATAAAATTCAACTTTGGGTAAAACCGACAAAATCCTGAAAACTTGAAGGTTTTTATGAAATCAGCCCTAGATATATTAAGTTAAATCACTCAATAAAACATAACACACTACTCTACTCATCATCTTCATTATGTCATTTGGGGTAATCTAACATGATTTTTTCTCTTTTTTAACCCATTTATCGCCTTCACTTCAACCATTATTGCATCCTCTTGCCATACATTCATTTATCTAGTGCCCAAGGATTGGAAGCGTGCTTCATAATTTCTTCTTTTTTTTGCCATTACATTCTTTTTCAACTCATTTGTAGCAAATTCATATTTTTCTCGAGGTGGAAAGAAAATTAAACTTGTGGATAATTTTCAATCCAACATTTGGTGGAGAAGATAATAAAGATATGTAATGACATATTATAGTTAAA